GTATTATTCAACATCAGTTTCAGAAATACAATGCGGTGGTCAGGCCTCTACATCAACTATGAAGTGGACTCCCCAAAAGGACATGGGTCCATCTGGCCCCCTTTCTTAAATCATATTAGTTTGCCAAAAGAGAGCACAGTCTTTGATTTATGAATGAAAACAAAATGTCAACAACCCATTATACCAAAATTAAATATGCATGTTTAGAATATGGAAAGCTACGATAGCTAAGGCATTTATAAGATCATAAAAGTAAACACAGAAAAACTACACTGACCTCTCAATTACCTAGTACTGGTTGACCTACCATCGAAGAATTATTGAAAATTACCACCCTGGGCTAACATTTCATTATCTAGCTCCAGCCAGTCATCTCTTGAAATTTCCTCACCTTGTTTACTTAGCCAGAACACGCTTGGAGAATGCCAACAAAAATCTAAGCAAAGCGCAATTAAGCAGGTAGACAAGCTATATGAAAATCCTCCCACGTACTGTATGAGAGTCAGAGAAAGCAGTATGATCTTAATTTACATACCAATTGATGGATACAGAACAGTGACAGATATGTGACTTAGGTGACAGACATGTGCCAGTAAGAGGGCCTACAAGCGATGGCATCCAGGAGCAACAGCACACCCAGGACCCAGACTCAGTTTCTATTGGGTTGTTGCAAAAGTCATGATGCATTTTTGCAACAAAAACCATTGAAAAAAATATGTCATGACTTTTCCGACAATCCAGTAAATACCATTCCCCCCGAGGAGCCAGGGCCCCTTGGAGAAATGGCGGATTCTGGGGCTGGGGCACTGCAATACAAGATGGTCCTCAAGCACCTGCTAGTAACCAGAAAGGAAGCGCTCAAAAAACAAAAGGATAGGGACACGTCAGAGGGACAGGAGTCAACCCCGGAACAGCTCCCAATGGCCAAAGCCGCAACAATCTGAGCAACAACATAAATGATGGTGTGTTGGATTATAACCCAAAGTACAAAATAAATATACATGAGAAGACAGTGATATAAATGATTGAATACATAAATAAAGGGGGGAGAAGAAACAAATCTTTCTTACGGAAGAATTCTAAAAACATGCTATGTAGATTACACCCTCCCCACTTCCTGGTTAACTGTGTCCAAACAACAGTAACTGAAAGCTTACAAATAATACCATAACCAAGTGATGAGGGCCCATCCCAGGGGTTTCATGTGGGTGCCGTGTGCCCCTGATGTGATGTGATGAGAGGGGCACCCTGTACTATCATTTCCAAAAACCCTTAACCCCAGTTTAATCATGAGAAAACATCAGGGGAGCCCAGGCCGGCAGACACTGCTGGACACCTAGCCAGTCCTCCTGTACCTTGTCACATCAGGAACAACAAGGAAAGACTGAGAAACTGTCCCAGACAAGAGGCCTGACAACTGAATGCAGTGTGGTCCTCTGCAGTGATTGGATCATGGAACAGAAAGAGGACACTAACAGAAAAACTGGAGACATTAAAAAAACTGCAGTTTAGTTAGTAGTAACATTCCAAAGTCAGCTTCTTGGCTGTGCCAAGTGTACTCTGGTAAGGGTAGGTGTCAGCAAGGAACACTGGGTGAGGGTGCATGGACACTCTGTTTGCAAGTACTATGTTTGCAAGTATTATATCATCTAAAATTATGCCAAAATAGACCATTTAGTTTTTTACAAAATAAACATCCTTTAAAGAAAGCGTGGTAAGTCATCCACTACATTGATTTCATAACCTACTAAAAGACTACAATTACAGTTTGAAGAACACTGCTTTAGAAAATGTATGAGTCCTTTTGGCAAAAAAAAGATCAGAAATGCTTGGTAATCTGTAGGCTACTCTGCTAGAAAATAAGTATTTCAGAAAGCAATACGTTGTAGAAGGAAAATGTAAAAAATAGCTTTCAAATGTAATTGTCTGATTATTCAAACTCTGAAATCCGTTCCTCTATCATTTTCCTCACAAGCACTAAATTCCTACGCCTGATTTTATAGAAGCCTCAGCAAGGGAAGTAGGGAGACTGTTTAAAACTATCTAGTCTATGGCTTCTTACAGGGCTTCTTTCAACTGTCTCTTTCCTATCCTGGACTTCCTTTTCAGTTACATTAGCCGACACCGTCCCTCTGAAATCCGTCTGCCTTGTGTACATCAAGTCCACATTAGTCAATTATTTTTCACTGATTTCTGCAGCGAGACAATCCATCCTAAAGACAGCTTAAAGAATGGCCAGCTCACAATACTGATTTTTCACCAAGTCTAATCCTATTAAACATTGCATGGTTAGGGACAGTATTTTTGGTTTTCCTTCAAGAAAGTACTATTTCTTCCTTTATCTTTCTTCCTCTCCCTTCCAACTCCTCTGTTAACACCACCGCTATCATCACCATGGCCATAAATATATTACTGGCAGTAAAAAAGGACAATTACAATGCTCAATTTAAATATTTTACAGTAGGTTAAATAAATAATCATTAAGTATGCCATATTTTCACAGTGAATAAATTCAACAATTGTGGATAAATGTTTTATGATGGCAACTTTATCTACATAAAATTGAAGAATGTATATCAAAGAACACATTAATTTTAAAAAGAGCTGCTTTGCCAACCAAAGAGAAAACTTAACACATACTACAAACCCAAAGAAACTCGAAAAATCATATATGATTTTTACATTAGTTGCACTGAGTCCCTCCACTAGAATATAATTATTTAGCTAGATTTCTTTGGGGAGAAAAAAAAAACGTTTTTTTAAGCATGTAAACTATATCTTCTAATAAAGATGTCTTTACAGTAAAGCCTAATTAACCCTGTTTGAAAACTGTGGAATTACTGGTTAGGTTCTGATTGCCATATGATCCCTTATCTGGAACATGAAGGGATTCAATAACAAATGAAAAATGCAGCTTGAAACTTGCCTTATATGAGTTTCATCATCACTGTCCACATGTAGCAAACGCCCCTGCAGACGCCGCTCTTCACTACGAAGCTGTTTTCTCATTTCTGATAATTCCATAATCACATTTTTTTTCTCCTCTGTGAATTCCCATTGATAAGTAAACAATAGGACAGGTATAAGAACAAAAGGTTAAACATTAAAACATAACCTGAGCTACAAAAGCTAAGATGCTCTGAGAGACATTTTTATGCAAGTTGGTTTGAATGCTTTACACATACGGGTCATATTTACAAACATTGTTAAGACCTACAAACACATTTCTGATAATACCGGAATTTTCAAAGTTAGGAAATATTCTTGGGGAGAGTGCAGCTATAACGGGGCAGCACAAGGGGGTTGCCATGGTGACAGAACATCTCTGCACCTTGGTTGTGCAGCGGAATTATATGTATATCCAATTATATATGATAAAAGTGCATAGAATGCCCACACAAACATAAACACACATGAATGAGCACATGCAACCCGGGGAAGCCTGATGGAGGTCTGCAGTGCACCAGCGCCAGTGTCGGGTTGCGTCAGTTTCTGGGTTGTGACGCTGTCCTATGTGTGAACTACGTTATTGTTGAGGCAACTGGAGGAAGGGTACCCAGGCCCGCTCTACCTCTATACTGTTTTGCAACGTTCTAGGAGTCTATAATTATTTCAGGATAAAAAGTTAAAAAACATTCTAGATTGCAGGTTTAACATTAACTCTACCTTCTGCACGGAGCTGGTTTTTCCTGGCAGGTACCGGAGGAGACTGCGCCCGGGAAACGGAACGTTCCTGTTTAACGGTCATGACAGATACACTCAGTATGTCTTCCCTACTCAGAAGCTTGAAGAGTAATTTTTTAACAAAACTGTATGTGAAAGAAACCAAACTCCCCACTATCCTGCCTATAAAATTACCCACAGCCATTTTCCGTTCCCACCACCATGGCAGGGTCCTTCCCCTGCACCCAACGATAACTTCCACCTGTAAACTCTGCAGCTGACCAGTGACCCCACCGCCTCCATCAGTTATTCCCTTTTCTCCACCCTCT